GTGTGTGTGTGTGTGTGTGTGTGTGTGTGTGTGCGCGCGTGTGTGTACCGGGTATATACTGCATACACAGAGCATTCAGGAAGCATTCAGACCCCGCACATGGTGCAGCCTGATGACTCCGCACCCCAGAGTGACAGCACCATGCACATAAGTATTCACACCCTGTGCTCAGGACTCCAGCAGCAGGCTCCGCCTCCGGTAGTTTGGGGTTGACGCCACAGGCTTGGCCCCCCGGGATTGGGGGATTCTCTGCCTTGGCACGGTCAGGTTGGATGGGGACCGTCGGCCATGTTCAGGTCTCTCCAGATCGGGGGCCCCTCCTGTGTTGTCCTCAGCGGTGGGGATCAGGTCCGGGCTCCGGCGGGGGCCCCTCCTGTGTTGTCCTCAGCGGTGGGGATCAGGTCCGGGCTCCGGCGGGGGCCCCTCCTGTGTTGTCCTCAGCGGTGGGGATCAGGTTGTCACTGAGGAGATCTCTGTACTTTGCTCCATTCAGCTTTCATCCCTGACCCCGCCTCCCAGCACCTCCCCCCCAGCATGACTCTGCCACCGTGCTTCACAGTTGGGATGGTATTGGGCGGGTGATGGGAGGAGCCGGGTTTCCTCCAGACATAATGAGGTCACACAGTCCAATGTTTGCTTCATCAGACCAGAGAATCTTCTTCCTCCTCAGAGAGTCCTTTAGCTGCATGGAGGAGGAGGGGCTTCCATCTGGCCCAGATCGGGGGGAAGGGCCGCAGTGATGGTTGTGTCCCCTCCCCACACAGGACCTCTGGAGCTCAGTCACAGTGACCATCGGGGTCACCTCTCATCCCGAGGCCCCTCCTCTCTTCCCGAGGCCCCTCCTCTCTTCCCGAGTCTCATCCCGAGGCCCCTCCTCTCTCATCCCGAGGCCCCTCCCCCCGGGAGGGATGTGAGAATTATGGAGGCCGCTGTGCTCTGGTGTTGTCATGTACCCCAGGGGGACTCCCATCCATGTCATGTACCCCAGGAGGACTCCCATCCATGCCATGTACCCCAGGAGGACTCCCATCCATGTCATGTACCCCAGGAGGACTCCCATCCATGTCATGTACCCCAGGAGGACTCCCATCCATGTCATGTACCCCAGGAGGACTCCCATCCATGCCATGTACCCCAGGAGGACTCCAATCCATGCCATGTACCCCAGGAGGACTCCCATCCATGCCATGTACCCCAGGAGGACTCCAATTCATGTTTAGGAACATCTCAGCAATGATGAAGAGGAATGGGAGGAGCCTGAGCTCAGTGTCATGTGATGTAGGACGGGGTGTGAATACTTATGCACATGGTGTTGTCATTATGGGATGCTGAGTGCAGATTGATGAGAGACACGTGTAGTATCCGGCTGCACCATGTGGGGGGTCTGAATGCTTCCTGAATGCTCTGTATATCTTGGAGGTCACATGACACCTGATATAGGGACTGTGGCCGACATACATGATTGTATCAGGGATGATGGGCCACATACATGACATGAGAGAGGAGCTGCACGCACCGTGTCTTCTAGCAGAGAAGGTCAATAGATGACTTCATATCATACATGTTACATACACCAGTAATGCTAGAGGAAGAGGCTCTGGGATATCTGGGGTGAGGTGCGTGTGTCATGTATGTGTAGTAGGTGCGATGAAATTGTTGTGTCAGTCAGTGGTGCAGTACATGGGTGGTCAGTGGGAGGGGTGTCCTCTTACATGGGGGGTCGGTATGTGATTATTCCGTGTCCTCTGTCACGCGTGTGATGATTTGTTTTGCAGAGCATGCTTGGTCCGTGTCATATGTGTATATTGCGTGTCCTCTGTCACACGTGTAATGAATTGTTTTGCAGAGCATGCTCGGTCTGTGTCATACGTGTATACTCTGTGTCCTCTGTCATGCGTGTGATGATTTGTTTTGCAGAGGATGCTCGGTCCCATGCTTGGCGTGTATATTGCGTGTCCTTTGTCAAGCGTGGGATGATTTGTTTTGCAAAGGATGCTCGGTCATGCGTGTATACTCTGTGTCCTCTGTCACGCGTGTGATGATTTGTCTTGCAGAGGATGCTCGGTCCCGTGCTTGGCGTGTACATTGCGTGTCCTCTGTCACGCGTGTGATGATTTGTCTTGCAGAGGATGCTCGGTCCGTGTCATGCGTGTCCTCTGTCACGCGTGTGATGATTTGTCTTGCAGAGGATGCTCGGTCCCGGCGTATAGGGATGGAAGTCCGCTGCGGGGGATTACTCTTCAGCTCCAGGTTTGATTCGGGGAATTTGGGTCGGGTGGAGAAAGTCGAGCGATTGGACGGAGACGACGAGACACCAAATGGGGGCCCAACGCAGAGCGCGGACTACGAGTTCAACGTGTGGACCAAACCGGACTGTGCGGACACGGAACATGAGAACGGGAACAGGTGTGTGCGCTGAGGGGGCAGTCACTCCTATTACCTGCAGGGGTCCCAGGGGGGCAGTCACTCCTATTACCTGCAGGGGTCCCAGGGGGGCAGTCACTCCTATTCCCTGCAGGGGTCCCAGGGGGGCAGTCACTCCTATTACCTGCAGGGGTCCCAGGGGGGCAGTCACTCCTATTACCTGCAGGGGTCCCAGGGGGGCAGTCACTCCTATTACCTGCAGGGGTCCCAGGGGGGCAGTCACTCCTATTACCTGCAGGGGTCCCAGGGGGGCAGTCACTCCTATTACCTGCAGGGGTCCCAGGGGGGCAGTCACTCCTATTACCTGCAGGGGTCCCAGGGGGGCAGTCACTCCTATTACCTGCAGGGGTCCCAGGGGGGCAGTCACTCCTATTACCTGCAGGGGTCCCAGGGGGGCAGTCACTCCTATTACCTGCAGGGGTCCCAGGGGGGCAGTCACTCCTATTACCTGCAGGGGTCCCAGGGGGGCAGTCACTCCTATTACCTGCAGGGGTCCCAGGGGGGCAGTCACTCCTATTACCTGCAGGGGTCCCAGGGGGGC